CATATGCTGGAGGCGGCTGCCGAGGACGTGACGATCGTCGAGCGCATCGCGCGGCAACGCGACGTTGACATCTACAAGGCCACGTACAAGGACAAGATGGTCGTGCTCAAGGGTCGTGCGGTATGCCTTTGCCCCCGGCTCATGGAACAATGCGCAACGAAGTCAACGAGATGCAAACGTACCTCCATTATCCTCAACTTGAAAATGGATACGATGACGGGGTAGGTGTACGTCGCCGTACGTGCAGCCGCTCATCGCGATCCTCGACAATGGCTCGACGACGGCTCTTCTTCCGGTGCTCAACGGCGACGCACTGTACAGCCCGACGATGGTCATCGAGTACATGGACGGCGGGGACCTCGACGATACGCTCAAAAAGATCCGCTCGGAAGACAAGGTGCCGCTGCAAGTTTCAACCATCGAGGTGGCCCTTGTGCTCGCCTACGCGCTGAAAGATCTGCACGCCCTCGGGAAGGTGCACCGGGATATCAAGAGCCTCAACATCTTTCTCTCGACGACGCACTACATTCGACTCGCGGATCTCGGCGAGGCACGGACGCACGGCAGCAACATGACGTCCAACAAAGGCACGGACTACTGGATGGCCCCCGAAGTCGTTCGCGTCGGTAACGGTGACAATGGCCGGTCGTATGGTCCACCCGCCGACATTTACTCGTTTGGCGTCGTCCTCACCGAGCTCGACACGGGCGAGACGCCGTATGCCGACATCGACGACAAGCGTTCGATTCTCAAAAGAGTGTGCGATGGCACGCTGCGTCCGAAAATGAGCGCCACTTGCGAGCCTTGGCTCCAAGCGCTCGCAGACCAGTGTCTGGAACATGATCCATCCAAGCGCCCGACAGCCGACAGCATTATCGCTACACTTGTGGCGCATCGGAATGGCAAGAGCGTACCGGCAACAAAAGGTGTGCATCCGGTGATGACCAGCCTTGCAACGATCGACGAGGAAGACACCGAAGCCCAGGAAGTACTGCCGCCTGGATGGAAATATACAATTGGCTCATCCCAAGTGTAGGCCCCGTAATAACGCTATCGCTGTCGCCGCACTGTCCCCATGACGCGTTTTTGATGTTACATTATTGGACCGATTTTGAACACGAAATTACATGTTGAAACACGCCTTGTGGTTGGCACGACTCGACTGGAAGTCTATTTGGTAGCGTTTTTATTGAGACGCCCTGCGCGACGATGCGAGAGACATGCCGTTTAGTAGAGCCCTGTGTATGAATGACAACAACTGAGGGTCACTTAACCGTTTCTTGACCCTCGCAACACCCTATACTTATATTAGCGCATGCGATGGCCCTACCTACCTACGATGAACATGGCCGCGAGCCGCCATCGCCGACGCTGGGCGAGCGCTGTGTACGACTCGTTCCTGCTGCTATTACGTACACTGCTAAAAGACACATGCGAGCCATGCAATGCGACGTAGACCGAGTTGGCGTCTGTGCTGGAGGCGCGGCGACGATCTACCTGCCTTTCCAAGACGACAGCACCGAGGTGGCTATAAAATGACGCTGGGCGAGGTGGGTCGCTTCCAGATCACGTCGGCTGCATCGTGCTGGCTATGCTAGCCGCCACCAAAAGGCTACTGCAGCGCCGTCGTCGATGCCACGGCCGTCGCGCTGCCGCTTGCTCGTTCCGTTGTGGCAACTCCAGTCCATTGGATTCGGCATGTGCCGATTCATGCGTGCGCCTTTCTTGCGCGAGGGGACCGTCTTGACGTCGGTGTTTCTGGTCCATGCAGGTTTTGTTGACCAGAACGAGGTGTCATGTGCCACCGTTGGAACGTCGCGTTTTTCGGCCGCTGATTCGGCTTCGAGTCGCGCGACTCGTCTCGGCAGGTGCGTGCGACTTCAGTCCAAACTTGCAACTCGATTGCGGACTCGACGATCAGGTCGAGCGCCCACACCCGCGTTGCCGTCGCGTCGTATGGAGGACGAGTGTGATTGCATGTGTCCGATGTTGCGTGTCATCCGGATAAACCATGTCGTGGCGTCGTGGATTGGATAAGAAGTAGCCAATAGTAAAACAGCGGCGGCAGTCGCAAAGTCACTGGGACGACGATGAACGAGGTCGTACGGCGATGACGTATCTGGAGGCTGAAGGACGCGGATGCGACGATATAGGAAGCCCTTCTCAAGGCTGCAGAAGACGGCAACTTGCCGGCTGTCCAAGCCTATCTCGACCACGGCGTCGACGTCAACTGCACAGACAGTGTGCGTGAAATCTCCATCCATCGATGGCCAACGACATTGATGTACAGTGGCGTAGAGTGGTCAGACACCTTTGCACTTTGCTGCTTCCTCTGGTCATTTGGAGATCGTTCGCCTTTTGCTCACGACGGGTGCGGTCATCGACGTCAAAGCCATCGTACGTTTTATGTTTGCGTTGAATCTCTCACGTGTACATTTATTATGACGTTTGTACGATTGGTATATAGTATGGCTTTACGCCAATGCACTATGCTGCTTGGCTGGGTCAATTGGAGATCGTCTGCTTCTTGCTTGCGAAGGGCGCGGCCATCGACCTCAACGACGAGGTATTAGCGTCCTATTGCGTCGTGTGCATCGTGTGACGATTGGCGCAGGGTGGTGAGACGCCATTGCACCGTGCTGCTTCTTATGGTCGTTTGGACGTCGTTCGCCTCTTGCTTGAAAAGGCGCGGTCATCGACGTCGAAACCAACGTGCGTTCCACTCACATATGAGAGAGATTCCAACCTGCTTGTTCTTGTAGAAGGGCAAAACGCCACTCATGCTTGCACAAGAAAAGGGCATGACAATGTCATCGCGCTTTTGCGGGACGCGCCTCGGTTGAGAGACCACGTCCTGGTACAAGATACTATATCTTTATACCCTTGAGCTCTGCAACTTCGTCTTTTCACAGCTTTTTGAAGCCCTCGGAGAGAAGCGGTTGGCCAATGCGATTGAAATGCTTCACCAACGCATTCTCGATCCCAACCTTCGCGACAGCGTCCGTCTCCCATCGTTGTCTATTGCGTGACGAGAACACTCTTGGATGACTGTAGAATGGAACGTCTTTGGTGCAGTTGGTGCTCGAGACACAAAACCTACCGCTGCTTCAAACGCTCTTGAAAAAAACCAACCTCCAGATCGACACGAGTGATGAGGTGCACTCGTATCGATCGTCCCCTCGACAATATCTTTGTTTTAGACGACTCGAGCACTTGCTCAAACCTCTAGCGTGGTCAAGTCCCTCTTTTTTCGAGCCGCCTCCGCCAACGACAAGAGCATTGTGGATCGTCTCTTGTCGCTCGGCCTCAGCCCAACACTTAGGACCGAGGTTGGCGCTTTGAGTCGTTATTGCCTCACCCAGAAGTGCTCTAGAATGGAGAGACAGCGCTGCATCTCGCAGCGGCCAGCGGCTACGTAGCCATCGTCACGGCTCTTCTCAAGGTGGCAGAGAACGATATCAACGCGATCAATCACGTACGTCCCCTTCAAGTCTCTCTCCGTACGGAACTTGTAAGTCGATGTAGGCTGGCGAGTCGTCCCTTTATGTCGCTGCGGCTCGCGGCCACACGGACATTGTTGAGGCGCTGCTTGGGGCCAATGCTAGTTCTCATCATGGAACCAATGTAAGTCATGGAAGATCGGTGACCAGGAATACAACGGTTGGTTGTACTACTGTAGCGGGGTCATCGCTGCTGCATGCGGCCGCGATCGGCGGCAAGACAAACATCCTCGACCACCTTCTTCGTGCGTTTGACCTTGACGTGGAAGCGTGTGACAAGGTCATTGCTAGTGACTTGATTGTGGTCTATAGCTCAAGCTTACTCTTTATCGACTCCACCTAGATGGGACAAACGCCATTGCATGTGGCGGCCGCCAAGGGACATGCGAGCGCTGTGCAGTCCCTTTTGAACGCCAAGGCCAACGTTCTCGCGACGACAACGGTACCTTCCTTCAGAGAGAGGGAGCTTTGGATGATCAAAACACTCTGCCTCTAGTTGGGCAAGACGCCGTCGATGCTAACGACGGACGATCGCGTCGTCACCATCTTGCAACAGGCCGAAACCAGAGCCAAAACACACGTACGTCCTCCAGCTTGGTGTCGACTTGAACTGGATGAATGTCAAATCACCTTAGCGTGCTGCAGAGATTGTCGACGCCGTGACCAAGCGAAACTACCACCAGACAATGGCGCTCTTGACCGATGGTGTGAGCCCCAACACCATGAACGAGGCAAGCCACTCCTAGCATCTTGAACACGTGATGAAGAAAGATGTCGAGTAGATAGGCGACTCGCTCCTGCACCTCGCCGTGCAACACAACGACCACAAGGTCCTGGACGCACTCGTACGCGCGCCAAGCGTCAAGATGGACGTTCAAAATGCGGTACCTCCCGTCTAGTTACTGTAGCAACGACAACGTCTTTTCTTTCGTAGGCGGGCATGACGCCGGTGATTCAAGCCATCCAAATGGGCCATCGACGCCTCGCAACGAAATTGCAGATGGCGGCGCACAGCGCGATTCCTGACGTCTGTCCTTTCCATTGAAATAGATTTTCTAACGATCGGTGTCGTTAGGTGTCGGCGGCGGAGATCGCGATGGACACGTCAAGTCCGTTGGGGTCGGGCGGGTACGGCGCCGTGTACAAGGGCACGTACAAAGGCCAGACCGTCGCCATCAAGACGGCTGCCAACGCCTCGTGTGGCCGAGCGCTTCTATACGAGATGGAGACCATGCAACTGTGCGTCTCCTACAAGATTTTCTCTCAGTTTTTCTTATCCTCTGCGAGGGTAGGTGCAACTCGCCGTACGTGCTGCAGCTGCTCGCGGTCTCGGGCGCCAACACATCGAGTCCCAAGCTCGTACTCGAGTACATGGACGGCGGCGACCTGCGCGGCTACCTTGACGCCAAGCGCCGAGGTGAGCCCACCAAGGTCGATGTCTCGTCCCTTGAAGTGGCGTGGGTGCTGGCGAATGCCCTCGCCGATATGCACCACAACGGTCTCCTCCACCGCGACCTCAAGAGCCAGAACGTCCTCCTTTCCTCGACTAACTACATCAAGCTCGCCGACCTCGGTATTGCGCGCGAATACGAGTCCAACATGACGACCGCCAAGGGTACACCGTACTGGACAGCGCCGGAAGTCTTCACGTCGGACAGCAAGTACAGCTTTGCCGCCGACATTTACTCGTTTGGCGTCATCTTGACCGAGCTCGACACGCTTCAGCTGCCTTTTCACGACGCCAAGGGCCTTGGGTACTGGGGCATCATCGACCAAGTGCGTCTCGGCAACCTCCGTCCGACAATGAGGGCCAACTGTCCGCCTTGGCTGCGTGACCTCGCCGACTCGTGTCTGTCGTTTGACCCGACGCAGCGTCCGCCGGCGCAGATACTCGTGACCTCCCTCCAAAAGCTGCTTGTCGACGAAGCGTTGGCGAGAGAGCGAGACACCGAGCCATTGGACCGCGAGATGCGTTCGACCGCGGTACATTAGGACACTCTTGACGACATGGGAAGTCCCATGCTCTCTCTCTCTGTAGAATCCAACTCCCGGGAGCCTCCAACGGCCCCACAAGCTACAAAGTCGCACGAGCTCGACCCTCCGCGACGCCTCAGCGACGACCACATCCTCGTCCACCGCGTCTCGGACGTCGACGGGCACGACGGTGCGAGGATCGATTCTTGAATTCTTTTGTTTCTGTCGTATCTTACGCTTCTCCTAGACGTCCTCGTCATGGTCCAACTCGAGGCTCGTGAGCACCCGCGTCGTGTGCCAGCTCTGCCGCGCCTCCAACTCTCTGCTCGAGTCGCACTGCGAGGCCTGTAAGGGGCCATTAGCTTCCGTTGCGTCCAAGCTCAAGGTTCTTCTAAAGCGTCTGGCTGTTGCCAAGAAGAACGGGTTCAAGATCGACGACGGTCTGGTCTGCGTCTGTCGCGAAACACACCACAGTATGACGACCACGATCTGCGATGAGTGCGACGACGAGCTTCCGGACGACCAAGAGAAGCTGCG